ACAGTCTTTGGTTCCTGGACCTCGGGTGCGTGATACTGATTTGTGATTTGATTGCTTCAAAGTGGTTGCACAGATATCTGCCCGCATAAGTCTCATTTAATGGGTGATTTTTGCCCATTTTAGATGTCCCGCCAATACCAGCATACGCTATATAGAGATATGCTTGATTTGGTATTGTGGGACATGCTTTAATAACGTCTATAATATTTACCTTATTCATCATGAGATAAGCGAGAAATGCCTTTCCATATCTCTCCATAGTGATTCCGGTTATTTGACATCAATATATGATCTATGATTCCATCATCAAAGCGGAGTCATTGCACATATGCCACTCTGCTTTTGTCCCATTCCGCGTTAGAGTCAATGGGACATTATCGCGACAATTCCCGCTTATACATTGTATGTTCGTCATCACCATGGATCCCATGCATCCATTTTTTCACACGAATGCATTTGATGATGGATGCACAACCTGTTAATCTAATTTCTTCTCAGTCCAACATGAATGAAATTGGTCACTTGATTCACATGCAGTGTGGCACAAGTGCTTTTTAATGGCAGCACCAGAAATCTTCTTGACATTTGAAATACACTACTTTGATGCAACCAGGTCTACCAAATATCCATAAAAGGGCGTGGTTGGGATATGAAATGAAATTAATACAGTGTAGCTGTTTGATGTCAAGATCGGCAACAGCTGCTTCAAGAGACGAGCTGCATTGTCAATGCTTTCTTTATTGACACTAATACCATTTTAGAATGATATGTTGCTAGCACACTCTCCACATCTACATCTCGGTATAATTGATTGCGTACCCCTGCTGCAGCGTCCCTGTTGCAAAATACCAGCAAGAGCGAATTTGCCATAGAAAGGCGGTGTCAAGATGTGGTATCACCCCATGAAAGCTGGTACGACTCGATGTTGACAGCACGGAATCGTTTAATCGGGGAATTTGCAAATATCAACGGTGATCGAAAGTACATTGTATTAGCCAACTCAACTCTTCCCCATAAAAAGATGGCGCATCCATTATACACTTTTTAAAAAAAGATATGGGATTGAGACATGGATGACTATGTTTAATTAATCTGGTGTTTATTGATCTTTGCTTGTAATGTATTAGTGGGTTGCCATACCCCATTTGCAAATATGCATAATCTATTCCCTACATTTCTATCTATACCTTCCACACACCACGTTATAAAAGCCGTATTGATTACTAGCGGATCCTTATAGCTTCATCTTATCCAAATTATCTAAGCTGGGTTGACTTAACTGTACTTTCATTTCAGAAGGGTATTCCAATAATAGCTTTAAAGATCACATAATAAGGAACAGATGTACAATTCGCAGAGATTCCTCAGATGGTTAGAGATGACTTGTTTTTGCTCTTGCATTCACAAAGCTTCCAGCAATGCTTGCTCCTTCGACTCTTATTGTCTATATACGCAAAAGGATCCATCTCTTTCAACTTACATAGATCAGTTCAAATACTCTCTCAGTAAATGATACCGTTCATTCCATTGTGTTGATATGATTGAGCTCTTTAATTCCACGATTTGCCGTTTATGACCGTATTGATGTAATATTGGCTTCAATCACGTCAGACGATTCTTGATCAAGTGCGTATTTCTGTAAACGGTCAACTTGATGTCTTGAATCTCAATTCGACATTATATGTATCAATTTCCTAGACTCACTCAAAGTGCGGTCCACGGCTTGTTTGTCGAAAGCAGAAAATGGTTCTATCGATAAGGTGTCTTTTATGTATTGTTCCTTTTCTCTTTAATCGCAGCTAAGAAGAGCATTTAAGCACGTTCAAGTTGTGCTGGTGTATCCGTTAAGGATTCAGACTGATCTCATTTTGAAAATCAAAGCAGGCGCCACATAATCTTTTTAGGAGATGAACACAATCAATATTTGAATAAAGAAAAAGTCAACAAAGGATAATCGCACATACTACAAAGGAGCAATCAGGAGTCAGATGTGGTAAGATAACAATAAACAGGTGCCATACAGCCAGCATATCGTGCTTTTGTTATTGATCCCTTGGAAAAGCACTACTCCAATGCCATAGTTAGAGGCATCTGTGGCAACATAAAAACGCTCATTAAGATTCGGATAATTCAAAGGCACATTAGCAGCTAAGGCTTCTTTAAGCTTATTGAAATGCAGAGTATGATCACAACTCCAGCGTCCTTTTAAGGATCCTTCATTGCGTAGAGCATCTAAAGGCGCGCTTATTTGAGACACATTAGGAATATGATCACGGAAGTAGTTCACAATACCCATGAATCGTTGTATATCTTTACTGGTTTGTGGTATAGGCCGTATTACAGTATTAGATACTTTACAAGGATCGAGTGTAATAGCATTATTGCTTATGCAGAAACCAAGAAGGTATACACTTTTTTGGGCAAAGTGACATTTGTTTGGGTTTAATATAAGATTTGCAGCTGTCAATGCATGAATGGCCTGTTGTACATGTGGAAGATGAGTTTCCATATCAGGAGAAAAGATCACTATATCATCGACAAAAGTACGCACGAAAGGCACGTCTTTGAAAATGACATGCATCTCACGCTGGAATTTAGAAGAGCTTGGCTTTAAATCAAATGAACACCCTTGGAACATGTATTGTTGACCATTGTGAGCGAACGTGGTCTTATGCTGATCATCCTCCTTAATCTTAAAACGATGGAATGCATTGGTCAAGTCGAGAGTAGTGAATACTTTAGAACCACCAAGATCTTGAAAGATCTCACGAATAAGTGGTAGTGGATAACGATCATCAAGAAGGTAATGATTGATATGGCGAGGATCAAGACATGGTCTTCTAGTCGTTTTATTGCTGTATGCATCCTTTTTGTCAGCCAAAGTCAAGAGACTATTCCATGATATATTGACTGGAGCTTTAACATTGACACCATCCTTTAATCATTTTTCCACAGCAGCATCGATAACTGGTTTAAGCTTAAAAGGTATAGGATATTGACAATGATATGAAGTGACACCTTCAGGTGTGGGCAACTCTACTAGTGATTCTTTTATGTTACAAAACGCGGTGAACGGAATGTTAGCATTGTCTTCTAGAAACTTCTCAAGTCCATTGAAGAAAACTTTGCGTTCATTGTCAGAACTTGCAGGTGCATCATTGGGAGTATCTGAATTGGTCATCTCGTCATCACTCGACTTTTCCTCTTTATCATCCCAACGAACAGCTAAACCTGTGATAGCAAGTCCAATATGCGGCATCAGATCCGCTCCAATGATCACATCCTCTTGATCAAGATCCATCACTTCAAATGCAAATGTTGTCTTATGCCCATTATAGCTAATATGCAGGGGCTTGGTTATACCAATGCGTGCACGACGATCACCAGTACCAGGGTACATAATATTCCCATCAATGGATTGAATAGACCAATTATTATGATTGCACAACCTTTTATTAACAACAGAAATTTCAGCTCCTGAATTGACTAATGCCCAGTATCGCTTATTCTGTATGAGGATGGGAGATTTGATTAACACATGTGATCGTTTGTTTGTTTGAATATTTCCTAAGACTTACCAGCAGCTGGGAGATACATATCGATATCCTCGATTTCGTTCAACTCCTCATCTTGAATGCTGGCGTCAGGTTGTGAGAGGACATCCATATCGATGGATTCTAGTTCGTCGTGGTTGGTGGTGGCAGGCTCAGTACCAGCTGAGTCACTGACAGAACTAGAAGCTGCAGCAATGGCGTTGATCTTCTCCTCGCGCTCAGATTCCCGCTTTTGCTTTTTAGCTTTACGGTATTCTTCACAACGATGGTCCTTGTTCCATTTGTCACCACAATATATGCAAAGTCCTTTACCGTATAGGGGTTCAGACTTGCTTTTGGGTTTGTTGTTTTTGTTTTTAATGAGATTGCAGTACTCAGACTTGTCTTTAACACACTTGTTATGGTGGGGACACCAATGCTTTGAGTCGGTATTTGATACAGGATCCTCAGAACGCTTGCGATTGTACACAGACAAGGAATTGGCTACTCGAAGTATATCGCTAACGACCACCTCGTTTGCCAGTCCAGGCAACTCGGACATTTTCTTGAATCTTTGGTTGCAGAGAAATAAGGAAAAGGATCAATATCACAGATCACATAAAGCTCTCAATGGCACTTACGATAATGCATTAATGATATATGCAATTCATATAAACGGAAGATATATGGGTGATCATATTGATGATGGCACATCTTGCTTTTACGCGCGTGTGCATGTGCGTGTGTGCGAGAATCAATGTCGACACAAAGAAAGAGAGCCATGGTTGATTGAATGATAAAGTGACCATGCATCTTAGGATACAAAGTCGAAGGAGCTGCAGGGTCTGTGATGGTGTAACTAAAGCACTGACGTTTGTATGCCAAAAGACGGTGCATACGATAAGGCTTCAATATGATATTCCTCCACGTGCGATAAATGATATAAGCACAATACTATGCTATTGTCAACAGTTGCTGCATAAACTGTGCCGAGTTTGCTGAGTTGCCCTTGGGTAGACAATAACAGATTGTTGTAATGTTCAAGTTGACCATCGTCCTTGAACACCATTTAAGGTCTAAACTTATGTTGTCATTGAATTTCCAAGACCATTCATGCTGCGTTTGCAATCGAGTGGTTGCCATGACAGGGACGGTGTCAAGGAGAATAAAGGAGAGCTTGGCGTTGCAGTTCTGAGATTGAAACATAATGGCGGAACACTCTAAATTTTCCGACATTGTCAACCAATCACTCCATCGTTGTGACACTGAAAGATTTGATATCAACCTTTTCATCTAAATTGCCACACATTGACCTTCCATAAAAATGTTACAAGTATACCATTGCATAGAGGAAATACTCCGCTGCATTATGCAATTTACCGCATATATCTATGACGACGTTTTTGATTTACAAATAAGGAAATTTTTATGTTCTTCATAGATTTTCAAGTTTCAGTTGAACACATGGGTGAGGTGTCCGAGAGGTCTAAGGAGGTAGATTTAGGCTCTACTCACTTCGGTGGCGTGGGTTCGAATCCCACCCTCATCATTGTTTTGTCCTGGCGTCATCGGTCACGTGACTTAGTCGTGGGAAGTCTCATTACTCACGTGATGCCTGTCAACCTTTTTGTTACACATTGCGATGCATGATTTTTTAGAATAGTATCAATTTCATTGATAGATGATGATTTGACATTGGGAAGGGTTGTTGATTCTTTCTTTTCTTTGTACAGAAGCATCTTATGATGAAAATCTTTCAAGTATATACATGACAACAATCATTATAAACGTGCATATCACATTTGAATGCTTGTGTATCTTTTCTGAGATCGAAGATGATTTTGACGGTTTCAATGCAAATGGCAATGAATTGGTCATATGCCATGTCTGGCTCAGTGCAATGGATTAATCGATCCACTATGCTTCCGCTAGATAAATCAATTCATTGATTCTGATCACGGCTACCAAGTAAGCTACCCATCACCACAAGAAGATTATACTATGCTCTTGTGTAAGAAATACAAAGATCATACTATTATGCATATGTAAATGATATACTATGACTTAAGTACAAAGGGATGATCTATTATGTAAGGGTATATTGGCCACTAGATCCAGGCTGGGAGGTGATGCCCAGAATCTTGCATTGCCTGACCAAGAAGTTACTGCAATCATGTCAACATCATTATTAGCACATAGAATAAACCAGTCGTCATTGTTTTCGCTCTACTTGCCTTTTCAAACATAATTCACCATTTCCTTTTCTCCTGATATACGAGTGATACACGAGCCATCATAAAGGACATTTGTTGCTTGCTGGATACTATTCAATCATACCATCAACAATATTAGCACATACAATGAACCAAACTTGATTGTTTTCGCTCTACTTGCCTTTCATACGACACCATTCCATTCACAGTGTACGTAGTACAAGATCCAACATAAAGGAGTTTGTTGCTTGCTCGAGACGAGATTATGGGAAGCCGAATCGACGCCAGATGAGCCAATGGGTGCACACAAAGATGCATCTGCCTTGAGTTTGATCTTGACGCCGATACAAGTTAAAACGTTAATGGAAAAAGCTAGAATGTAGCATTGGACTTTGAATGCACCTGTTGTACAAAACTTGGAGCGGCATAGTAACGAAAGACAACAGCGACAAATCACCTTGACTACAAGGTTCCTTCTGCAGCATACACCACTCCCCGCCTGTAAATATTTATAACTGTGTTAGTAAAAAGTGTTTATAAGCAACAAGAGCAAGTTTTAACATACATTTCTCGAAGCATGAGGTGAATGGCGACGCGTTAAGGTCGATCATACACAATTTAGATTTCACCCACACACTCACTGCACCCGCTGGCCATCTCAGCTTTATTGTCGACCGTTAGATAGAGACTGCAAACCAAAATCTGCACACAAGCAAGCAATTAAAATCAATATATCAATCAGTATAATGTTCATGGGGATGAGGAATACAAAAGGGAATATAATGTTGAGTAGAATAAGAGAAGCAAATTAGTATGGCAGCAGCAATGAGTAAGATATAATAGAATAGAGTCATTGTTGATTTATGAATTTAATTGTCATGGGCAAGAGTTAAGGGGAATGGTGTCATTGTTGACGCATGGATGGATCGGACCACGAGAAGAGGAATAACAATAGGATCGATACTATGAATATGAGAGGGTGGCAAGTGTTACTGCTGCAAATTCAGTAGTAGAATTCCAAACATGATATTGGATAATGATTCGAAGTCTTTTGGCTTGGTGGTGAAAGAATGACGAATGAAAAGATACCAGTTGACAAAGGAGAGATTGTATTTGTGTTATTGCTCAATGCGAATATCATGGTAAATGAAGGCGTGCCTTAAGAAGACTACACATGATATGCACCACAAATTATACGACTGATCCTGTTGTCTTCATAGATACAAGTTGTTCATGTTTATTGGATAAACCAACAAGACTATACTAATAATACTAGTTCTAGATTGATAAATTACAGTGTCGATTATTAATTAGGAAGCAACATTTTGTAGATGGCTTCATATTCAAAGCGTAAAGGAATCTTTTTTAGTTTGACGACCGATGATAATGAGACCGGATAGCAAGACGAGACCAACTGTGGCAGCTGCAGCCATCTTTTTATGTGGACGATATACTGGTGATGACGATGATGATGATGATGGTTTTTGAGATCGCTTTCGTTTAAAGGTACGTTGATATGCAAGTGAAGCACCGCTGACAATATGATATGCTGCTGTACCAATAAGGGTTCCATGCAATGTGTATGTGAATAAAGGCCAGTTCTGCAAACCCCATGCAATGTGTCCAAAGTCCAACATGGCTGAATCACCAAAGTAACGCACAGGAAGTGTACGTACAAGATCATAATGAAGCCATACCACTGGCACTAGGACATAACCAACAATATGGTGATAGGGAAGCAATCGTGTGGATGATGGTATGGTATCGTTCTTTTGTCCCCAGTAACCGCGTATACCAGCTTTAGCCACGCCAGCCAAAACATGAACAACGGCTGCACCAGATACGAGAATACCTTCCAAGTGTTGGTCTTGGTAGAATGGACGCCCGAGTAATAACCAACGATTGGACATGTCAGGTCCTCCCATGGTGCTTACTGCTACTTGAGCACCGTGAATCGCGACAAATGTAGAAAACACAACTGCTGAAGCTGATTGAATAGTAGTTAAACCACTGTATATCTTAACGAGAGACATGGTACGCGTATAAAACAAGAGTAGGGGGTGTTGTTTAAGAGAAAGAGAAAAGCAGTATAGAAACACGGAGTTTTTCTGGCTCTAAGTTGTGTAGTTTTATTATGTGGTGATGAATCAAGGTTCTTAACCAATGATAAGTTTATCTTCTTGGAAAGCGTATTCTAAAAGAATAGAGTGAATGAGAAAGAGTTGAGCATTATAATGAAAAGAAAAACTTACCGGGAACCTCGAGATTGAGAGGAGCAGGACCCTTACGGATACGACCCGAGATATCATAATGGGAACCGTGGCAAGGGCAATACCAACCACCATAATCACCAGCTTCACCAATAGGAACACAACCCCTGATATAAAATAATTAGTATCCATCTCTTTTTGCATTAATGAAAAGACTTACAAGTGAGTGCAAACACCCAACATGACCAACCATTCAGGACGCTTGACACGATCAGCATCAGTTTGAGGATCACGAAGTTCTTGAACGTTGATATCGTTGGCTTCAGCAATTTCATCAGCAGTACGATGACGGATGAAAACAGGTTTGCCTCTCCACTTGATAGTAACATTCTTGCCTTCGGGAATAGCATTCAAATCAACTTCGGCCTTGGCCAAAGCAAGCACATCAGCAGAAGCTGACATGTTGGCCAAAAAGTCACTGACAGTAGCTTGAGCACCAGCAGCACTGACAAGACCAGTAGTACCGACCATCATGTACGCAAACGAACGGCTAGCGTCTCCACTGGTGTTGTTCTTTTTGTACTTTGAGAAATCGGGAATGGCGGTTGTGTGGTTGTTGCGCATCTGAATAGCATTGCCTGTAATGCCAAATCGAACGTCAGCGTGTTTCAATGCATATAAAAAAAACAGTGAAAGAATCTTTTAATGTACCATTATCCTGAGTAGGAGTAAGGCGCATGGCGCTGTTGACAGCCTGCGAAGTAGCAGGAAGAGTGTTGAACGAGCGTCTAGCAATAGCCGAAACGAGGGTGCGCGACAAGGCAACCATATCGAGGCAGAGTGGGGAGAGTGAAGGAGTGAAATTGACGATTGATGGGTTGGGTAACCACTTTTTGTTTTGATAATACGTCACTTGGTAGCGGCATCAAATTTCGCCCTCTTGTTAGCCCAGCTACATTGGTTTCTATGGAAACATGTTGTCAGTTACCTACACTATTCAACTTGCTTTTATTACTGCACCATTTATGAATACAAGAAATGAATGAGAATATCAGTTGCTTTATATCCAGTTTGCGAAGTGTGTTAAAAGATCCATTCCCTGTCATATATTGTAATACTGTTCTTCGACAGCATGAAGTGAATCATCATTCATCCGATATGTCTTAATACCATTTTGTTGACAAGCATATGAATAAAAGTAATAGCTCAAGGAGGGGTTATCTCGGGTATTAATACATCAGATGCTACAAACTAACGCTTTAAAGACACCTTATAATGAAGAGAAATACTATAGCCAACTAGGTTTATTACTAGGAATGCGCACTAGATCTGTATCAAACAATTCTATAAACTGTTCATTGAGCAACCGTACTTTGGGACCTGCATAGCGTCGATATTCTTCAAATATAGATGTCAAATTCCATCGTTGTAACTTTCGAAGGCATCCTACAATAGTGCCTAATGGATAACAAAAGGTCAAATACATATCCAACATATATTCACATAGTGCAACTGACCTGTTCGATGACGACCAAGATTGCACATGATCATCATTGGATAATTGCTTGGCTGTAAAATCAAATCAAGCGCCTCCAAAACTGCTTCTTCAGTGATTGGATCCCATGCATTAACTGATGATACAACGCCTAAATGGTGTAATTGAATCTCTTGATCATCGATAAAGTCAAGACTATAAAATGATCATAAGCATATATGTTATTCATGCATCGCATAAGAGTAATACTTGCAAGCGTTGATTGGGTTCTTCTGGTGCAAGCCATACAATGGTCTTGAGACCGAGTTTCTCCAAGAAGGGAAAGTTGAGCTCATTGGGTTGACCAGACCGATATAGATCCTCCTCAATCATGCCAAAGTTCTAGTCCACAGTTAAATTGGCGTTTGTCGATTGCATATGAACGCGTACCACTGGGGGTATAAAGTGTTGTGAGCTCATGGTGAATGAAAGGAGTGAGTGAGAAAGAGAGATACAAGTGTGAAAGTGACTGGTGCGAGTGGGTGTTTGACCTTGCCTTTTTCCCTCTCGTCTTCTCTCATCGTGTTGTCAATGTCTGCGTACGCGATCTACAAAGAGTTGTTTCCACCTCAAACAGTTGAACATGTCCAAC